ACTTAATTTTTTCCTTGGTTAATTCTTTGTTTGTTTGGAGCACTTCCTGCAGTAGCTTTGTGAGACAGGGTTCATATTTGGAGGCCTCTAAATATCTCTGCTCTATCCTTGCACTTGATCGTTTGTCTGGGTACAGGACTCTACTTTGGAAATGATTTCCCTTCATGTTAGATGCTCCCCTCCAATGCCTGATGATTGACTAGGGTGACTTGTCAACTAGCTTGAACTGACTGCTGGGTGGTTCTGCAGCAACCAGGACGTTTCAGTAAGACATCATTCTCTGTAACTCTTTTCTCTTGGACTGGCCAATTTCCCTAATGATTAATCTTCCATCTTCTGCCTGTGGGGTATAAGCCTCACCGCCAGCATTATAGGAATCAACAGGGGGAAAGGGACCAAGGGATCTTATAATCCAAAGCGCAGCTGTTTAACCCTTATTGCTCATGTGTTACATGCCAACTCTCGGTTGTGTCTGGTGTCTCAAGACCAATTTTTTCCTGCAAAGTTGGGCAGGGACAGTGTCCTGGAATCATAATTGTCTTAGTTACTTTTCTCTGGTTGCTAAGACAAAATACCCGACACCTAAGGTTAAAGGAGGAAAGGTTTATTTAGCTCACAGTTTGTGGAGGTTTCAGTCTATAATTGGCTGGCTCTAAGACAGTTGGCATGGCAGAGGGGCAATAGCCCATGGCAGAGGAAGACACCAAAAACAACAAAATATAAGGCACAGAAAGAGGCGGGAGACAAGACTCTTTCCGTGCCTTATATTGTACGCAGGCTACCTGCTCTAGGACAAGTGTGGCATTCACACGCTTAATCCCAGCATTGGACCATGAATCAATCACAAACTCTAAATTCAGCTACCTCTGAAAAGCCTGCCCACCATGACTGCATGAGGCTTTAGGGGGCATCCAGACACAGACCACAGCAACAGGTGTGCACAGGTGTACTTAGGGATGGGAAGAAATGTCAGGAGTTGCATTGTTCCTTGCACAAATTTTCAACACGTTTGTTTTCAGCACATCTGCACCCGAGGGAACAGATAGCTGTTTTCTCTAAGGTTCTGTGGTACTGCTGCTTTCTTTCCTTCAGGTCTTAGGTTTCAACTTTATCTTCTCTGTTCAATCAGTTGCTTCTCATTCATCTGCTTTTTCTGTTTCCATAATATTGTTAACCTTTTCTGTCTTCTGTTGTCTCCGTTCCTGTTCTCTCCTTGTCCTTTTAAGTCTAAGCAGTGGTGTGCTGGTAAATGTCTGACAAATGGTGCTTGCAGGAAGAGAGGAACCCTGATTTGTAGCAGATCAATTCCTTTGGTGTAAATACTTCCACTGGGATTAATCTCAAGCCACAAAAAAGGACCTCTCTGAGCATGCAGTTTGAAAGAAATGCAAAGTGGCACGCCTTTATATAATATTTCCACAAGTACAGTAGACACAAACAACACATGTAAATAGCCACAGGAGAAAGCATGATTATCACTCTTATGGAATGGTAAGTTGTGAGAATATATTAACTTTGCTTTTGATGTAATTTTTAAAATTACAAACTTATGTAGTTTAGTTTTAAACATGGCTATGTTTCACAACCAGCTGGAAAAATTCTTGAAAATGTAACAGTCAGTTCTCACAAGTCTGTATCAGCTGGCCCTAACATACCAGCAGGTTTCATAATGATTTTATTGTTTTTCTTGATTTTTGTTTGTTTGTTTTTGCAGTACTAGGGAATGTCTCAGGACTTCCCACTGAGCTATATCCCCAGCCCTTTCAAAATTTTTTATTTTGAAACAGGAGTCTTACTAAGTTGCTAAATTGCCTAGACTGTTTGAATTTGCAGTTCTCTTGCCTCAGCAACAGTTTGTAAGAATCTTGAAACCACTGGCAAGGCAATCTGAAGAGTCTCTAGTAAGCCAAGCCCAGAGAAATAGAAATCAATTGTAGAGTACCCATCTAATTTAATGCATTTGACAAGGTATTTATTATATTGTCTGTTGTCTTATTTTAATGAGAGTAAAAAATTATCAGCTTTTGTAGATTCGTGCCCAACCACCTTTATCTCTTTGAGCTGACTTTAGCTTCCAAGGCCCCATCTTTTGCTCAGGTGGTGATGGTGGGGTGTTCCAGCCAGGCAGCCCTTTGATGGGGAGTGACGCAGTCTCCTGGCTGGTCCTGGATGACCTATCTCCCAGTGTTCAGTTCCTTGTATAGGCCCCTCCCGCACAGGGTCAGAGCTGGTCTGTGTGACCAGTGGGCTGCAGCAGAAGAGAGTGAGATCTAATGGGTTTTAAAAGACACGGTTGGTCTCATGAGGAACACTTCCTCTTGGATCTCTCAGACAGTAAGCTAGCTGTCATGTCCTAAGGTCCTGTAGAAAATTTGTAGAGAGGCCCTGAGGCAAGAAACCAAGGCCTCTAGCTAGCCAGCGAGGGCCTGTGTCCACGAGCAGCTAAGCACATGCACTGGGGAGTGGCTAGCTGGCCCAAGGCGAGCCCTCGAGTTCTCATGTGACTGGAGCCCTTGCTGGACTGCAGCCTTGTGAGAGCCCCTGAGCCAGTACCACCCAGCTGAATCACTCCTAGACTTCTGATCCTCAGAGACTCTGAAAGAGGATTTGGGTTTGTTGTGAACAGAGACGGTGGCTGGAGGTAATTTGTTATGCAGCCATAGCTAACCAATACAAAGAGGGGAGATAGTAGTTCTTTCCCACTGTCCACATTCTTTTTTTTTTTTTTTTGTGGTACCAGGGATCGAACTCACGACCTTGTGCTTGCCAGGCAGACGCTTACGCCACTGAACTATATCCCCAGCCCCATGTCCACATTCTTTCAACACGAGGTCCTTGTTACTCTAACAGAGAGAGCTGTCCGTGCCTCTGGGTAGAGAGTTTAGGGCATCCCAACTTTCCTTGCTAGCTGGGGGACTGACATTTTGAGTTAAAAATAGAAGGGGATTTTCTTTGTGATCATTGCTGTAGACTGTTTTGTAGCTGATAGCACATACCCAAGATCAGCAATACAAGGTAGAACTTGTCTTCTTGTCCCATTCTAGTCAGAAGAAACACTTTTGTGCACGTGTAAGCTTTAGAAGTTGGTCTAAATAAGAAAAAATAAATTTCAATTATTTCTCTCTTAAGATAAAAGCAATAATATCAGCGGTGCAAAAAATAAAAAGCCAAAAACCAATAAATGCCATAATTACAGCATCTATATGTAGATATGGTTAAACTGGGACATATCTTTAACTCACTGTACCGCTGTGCACTGTCATGTCTCTATGGAGCTGCAGGGGATTGGTTCCAAGACTCCCACAGACACCAAAATCCAAGGACATCCAGGTTCCTTGTAAAAATGTACAGCATTTGCACATACTGCACAATATCCTCCCATAGCCGCATTTCCAGATGACTTAAAAACCCAATTCAATGTAAATGGTTTGCAAGTACTTGTTATATTATTTAAGAGCTAATGAAGTCAGGTGTGGTGGTGCATGCCTGTTCTCCCAGCACTTGGGAGGCTGAGGCAGGAGGATTGCTGTGATTTTTGAGGCCAGTCTAGGCTACATAGTGAGTTCAAAGTCATCCCAAACTACATTGTGAGACTCTGTCTCAAAAAAACCCAAAATCAACCAAACATACAAACTAATGATGAGAAAAAAAGTCTGCACAGGTTCAATATATGTGTAGTTTTTCTTTTCAAATCTGTGGTTGGCTGAATCTGTGCATGCAGAACCCATGGATATGCAAGGCCAACTGTACATATTTTGTACAAATAGGTAATACAATATGTACGTTTTATGACTTGTTTTTACCTTAAATATATTATGAACCTGTGTTTATTATTAACACATTTTGTCATCTACAATTATAATTTTATTTTTAAATTAAATTAAATTTTTTTTTTGTCTTTTTGAGTCAGGGTCTTGCTATGCAGTTCAAGTTGGCCTTGTGCTCACTGTGTAACCCAGGCTGGCCTTGAACTCACAATGATCCCCCTGCCTCAGCCTCCTGAGGGCTGTGATTACAGGTGTGCACTACCACACCCAGCTCTACAATTATAATTTTAACTGGTTGCATAATATTCTGTTACACAGATGTGTCTTAATTTCTTATGTCATCTGCCTTCTGTTGGATATCAATTTATATCTCCTTTTGCTGTTATATATAATGCTAAATAATACGTTTGTAGCTAAATATTTGTACCACCTGGACTTTCCCTCTCTTGGGGTGACTTATTAAAAGAAAAAATTATTGACTTAAAACAGATATACATTTTTAAAATTTTATTTTATTTTTAATTGATACATAATAATTGTACTACATATACATTTTTAAAGACCTTTTCCCCCTACATATTGCCAAATTGCCTTCCAAAGAGGTTGTACCAGTCTAAACTCATTGAGATTTATTAGTATGTATATTTCCTGCCAGTACTGAGTAATTATATATTTTTTTCTTTTGGCCTGGTGTTCAAATGGGAAGCACAAGGATTTTTCGAGTCTGGTTTACATTCAGAAATTGCCAGCAGCTCTGCGTGTGAGGAAACTCTAGGATAACCCAGGACCCAATCAAATGTGAGGGAAATGAAGTGACACATTGACTCTGCCTATTCCAGATTATGCTTAGAAGATGACAAGAAGAATGTTGAAAATCAGATGTATGTTTACGATGTAAGAAAGAGAGTCAAGCATGAAATATTCAAATGCTCTCACCCTGTTATTACGCTTTTGGGAATTTGTTCTAGAGAAAAATCTCAGTGAATGGAGAAAGAGTATTTACAGGGGAAAAAAGAGTTTATTAACATTGCTTAAGTTAAGGAAACATTATAAACAATTCAACAGGAGACAAATAGTTTCAAATATTGGGTTATATCCTTTCCATGGAATAGTATACAGTTGTTAAATTAGTACATACAAAGTCTATGTAGAAACATAGGAGTTTGTTCAGGATATTAAGTGCAAAATAAGTAAAGAAAATTTTAGCACGTAAAACTATACTAGTTAAACCTGCATGGATGAAAAGTGGAAGGCACTATAAAAACTACCTACAGTTGTGTAAAAGAATGACATCCTGTCTTAGTCTGTTTGCTGTTGCTATAACAAAATATTGGAATCTACATAATTTATATAGAAAACAAGTTTATTCATGTCACATTTCTGGGTGGAAGTGGGGAAGGCCAAAGGCATAGAGCCAGCATCATCTTGGCTTCTGATGGGTGCCTTCTCATGCTCCTGGCATGGTTGAAAAGCAGATGCACAAGCAGGTCATGTGCCATGAGACGGAGGGCTGACCTCCTGTAGTAGCTAAGTCATATCCATGAGAAAAACATTAATCCATCTGGAAGGCTTTGCTCCATGACCTGAACACCTCCTACTAGGCCCACCACCCAGTCCTTCCACAGAGGAATTAAAGCTGAACCTGAATTGTAGCAGGGACAAACCATGTTGAAGCTATAGCAAATTTCACATTTGAAAATTTTCTGTAAGGTCATCATTATGTAGTTACAGTGAAAAGTAGTAATTTTTTTAAGTGGGGGAAAGGTTTGTGTAAGCAGGCAAATGAATGCGTTACAGGGACGGCCATGGAAAATGCTTGGCCAGCACTGGGCATGTTACTTAGCAAGGTGTTGCTGACAGCGGATGGAGCAAGGGCTGGAAGCAGAGAGAGCTGGGCTAGAAGCCAGGCTCCACTTCATACCAGAAGCATGAGCCCAGACAAGTTCCTGAACTCCCTATGGCTTACAGAGCTGCAGAAATGGATGAATAAGACCTGCTTGTATGGTTCTTGCGGGTGGGGACCAGATCTGCTTGGAGGCCGGTATGTGCTGGGAGATCAGTGAATGGTGATTGTAAGATGTGATGCTGCTCTCTTTCTCTCTTCATATTTTCAGAAATTGTTGATACCGCCGTGGGGAGAAGGAAATCCAGTTTAAAAGGAAACATTTGCAAATATGTTTCTGTTCAGGAAATCAGCTGCAGACTGCACAGTTCTTTCCAGGACAGAAGAGAGTGAGTGAGAGAAAGCTCTTTCTCAACAGCGTCTCTGTTGTCTCTCTATCGAGTAATTTATCTGAGTATTTTGATTGATAAGGACATAGTATAAAAATATCACAAGACTGTAAATCTTCTGCTATGCACTGCAGGAATAAAATTAGTCATGAAAATGCAAAGAGCTGGCCGTGGTAGGGCATGCCTATAATCCCAGCACTTTTGAGGCTGTTGTGCTTTGTATCTAGATGTCCCCCCCAAGTCTTATGTGCTCATAATGAGGCTTTGGGGACTGACTGGATCATAGGTGTATGGTACTAGACCAGTCCGCTGATTGATTTAGCATAGTTCTGGACTTATGGAAAAGGGAAGACTCATCTTGGGTGTGGGTGACACCAAAAATAGGCTTGTAGCCTGTATAGAATAAAAAGGGAAAGAGGAAGGAGCTCTTGCTTCTTCCTGCCTGCCATGCCATGGACTCTTTTGCCTCTGCCATGCCCCTCTGCCTTGCTGCTCTGTCTTGGAGTCAGCCAACCGTGGACTGAACCATTACAAACTGTGAGCTAAAATAAACTTTCCTCCTTTAATTTGTGGGTGTTGAGTATTTTGTCCCAGCAACAAGAAAGTAAGACAGAGGCTGAGGCAGGAGGATTGCAAATTCAAGTTCAGCCTTGGCCCCTTTTGCAAAATTAAAAATAAAAATTAATAAAGGCCTGGGGAATGTAGCTAAATTCAAAAGTTCTGAGCTCAATCCCTAGTTCCCCAGTACTGCTTAAAAAAAATAAAAAGAAGAACAAGAATAGAAAAGAAAGAAAAAAAAGTGAGGACCAGAATTTTTAATTATTATTATGGTTATTATTATTGGAAATATAAAATCTTAACACTACCTATCGCTGTTACTTTTAAAAATCTGTGTAACTCTTGTTAATCTGGTATTTTGAAGTCAGTACTGAGAGAGTAAACAGCACAGAAATTTGCTTTCTGTGATATCAACAAAATTTGTCAATTACATTTAGATTTCCAGGACCTCTAGCCAGGGAGGAGAGAAATCAAATGGAGAGAGAAAACAGCTGACTTATGAATGTGAACAGAAACTCAGACCACCTGATGTCTGCAGAGAAATCTGTCGCCTGCAAAAGCCTGTATGTGTCTCCCTTGAAAATCCAGGCCAGCAACACAGCGGCAGTCCTCATCTCTGTCCACTCCTCCCGCCGGGGGAAAAAAATTCAGCACCTGTGTATACCAAGTCCTTTTCAAGATATTCCTTTTCATACTGGGGTGAGTTTTCTTTTTCCTCTTCCAATACTGTTTAGCAGTCAGAGCAGCTTGAATAACTGGAGTCATGTAAGCATCCGAATGCAGCTTTGCAGGCGGCTATGTTGGTAGAGGCAATTTTAAAGGAAAGCTCTTTGGCTGGGTATTTCGTGCTACATGGGATTGGGGGAATTAATAATGACTTCGTCAGTTTCCGAGCAGAAGAAAACGGTGTAGCTGGGGATATAGTTCAGTGGCACAAGCGTCTGCCTGGCAAGTGCAAGGTCTTGAGTTCGACTCCCAGTACCAAAAAACAAAAAACAAACAAACAAAAAAACCCCAAAACAGAAAACAGTGCTGCTCATTCCGACCCCTCTTCCCTCTGTGCATGTCTTTCCTCCATGTCCTGGAATGATGAAGGCTAGGAAACTCCAGCAGCAATCTGTCCAGCTTCTTGATGCCTGCTGGGCTTGCTGCAAACCTTCAAAACAGTTGGCTGATCACGGTATTAAAGATCCCAGTATAGCTGTCCTGTAGCCTCCCTGATTAACTAACATCAGCATGTAACCTTCTGTCATTCAGTAATTTTTATTATGCCAACAATAGTGGAGATTCTATTTTTGTAGTGCTTGGAATTGAACCCAAGGCCTCATGCACGCGAGGCAAGCCACCTACCACTGAGCTGCACCCCCAGCCTGATAGTGGAAATTTAAAAATAAACTCCCTGCAAACTCATGCACAAGGGTACTACCCCGATGGGCCACCTGCAACTATGCCGCTACAGTTGAAGCTTACTGCAGAAAGAACTGGGGTGTAGGTGACATAGCTTCATAAAAATAGAGTATTTTTAAGTGTGAGGCCTTGGGCTCAACCCCCAGATCCTTAGCACAAAAAGTAGTTTTGAGAGAGAGCTGTGAGTGCAAAAGCATCTGCTCCTCTTGCTGCAAGGTCTGCATCCCCAAGAGTCATCCTCCCTTCAGGAACTTCCAGCAGAGGAGCAGACGCTGACCTGACGCTCACATGTGTCCCCAGCCTGCAGGGGACAGCCACAGGCACAGCCCCCTTCTCCCAGCTCCCTGCTGGGTCTGCGGCTTGTCAGGCACCTGGTAAATTATGTGTCACCTTCCTCTTTCGGGCAGCCCCGCAGTGTCTGCAAGTGGCTCTCTTGGACTAAGAGTTAGTGAATGACAGCCCAGGGGCTATATCTGGCCTGCTGCTGTGCTTTTTTATGAATCACCCATGAGCTACAAATGGGTGGTTGAAGAAAAAAAGTCAAAACAGGACTACTATTTTGTGACATGTGCAAAAAAATCATATGAAATTCAAATGTAAGCATCCCTGAATAAAGTCTTATCAGAACCCAGCCTTACTTATGCCCCATTTGTCACTCTACCGCTGCCTTTATGCTGCCAGCAGTATTAGTACTTGTGGTGGGTACTGTGTGGCCTGTAACTCCTAACATGTTTGTCATCTGACCCTGCCCAGAGTGAGTATGCTGACCCGTGTCAGCACCCCCTTCACTATGGAATCTTTCTCCTTTCCTTCCCCACAGCTAGGGAGGCAGCGTGACCTGTGTGGGTAACCACAGCCCTCTCACTCCCAAGGCAAGAAAACCCAAAGGCTGCCTCTCCCTTCCCAGCCTGCTTGCTGGTAGATCTGGTTCGACTAAGCTCACAGCTGGGGGACAGGACAGGGCAAGGCACACGAAGGAGGAAGCTGTCTGCTCTGGGCCTAGATGTTTACGACAATCATTAGGATGAGAAATAATTAGGTGCCTGCACTGAAGACAGAAATGAATCAACAGTCATACGGGATGTGGGAGTCAAGGACCATTCATTCCTCTGTTTAGACTGTATTTGGGACCATGAATGGGGACAAGAAAGACCAGAGAAGGAACCGCTTTGGGAAGGGAGAAGGAAGATCCAAGATTCTGCTCTGGATGGACCAAGGTGGTGGTTTGTTGTGTGGACAAGTGGGGAACTGGCCACATGAATGTGGGTGGAAGCTCAAATTTGTGAGCTACCAGCAGAAGAAATCTTGGTAAATGAGAACACCAATGGAGTGAGTGCAGATGGGAATGAGGAACAGGCCAAGCACCCAGGACACGCCCTCCAACCTTCAGAAGATGGGAGGGGAAGAACCCAGGAGGGCAGAGTTCTGAATGTTTCATGCACTGCTATATTCCCGGCACTGGACACAATGCCTGGCACACAGTATGTGCCCATTAGAGCATATGTTGACTATGTCAGTGAAATTGCATTCCAGGGAACTAGAATCTTCCATTTGAAGTACGTAACAATAGCCACACCACACTCACCTACCCCCTCACGCTCCACCCCTTCTCATCTTCCTCTCCTCTTTTCTTCTGCCTTCTTGCCTGATCTATGCTACCCACTGGGGCACCCAGGCACCCTGGCTTGAGCATTACCTATTTGCATCAACTCTGGGTGATGCTGGTTGCTGGCTCAGTGACCAAGCCAGTCTAGAGCCTTCTTTTTGCCTATGTGCTGTACATTGTTTTAAAAAATGTCACACTTGGTCTTATTGGACTGCTCCTTCTATTGGAGCATTTTTCAGTTGGCTAATGCTATTGTGATTTCTACTTCCACTTCTTACATTAATGCCTCCCAGGTTGGTGTCATCTGTGATCTTAGGAAATTCCTGGGTACATCACTGGGGTAAAGCTAGAGATATTTCCCACAGGCTCCATTCTAACACAAGTGAGGTCATACAGGACACTTCCAGGTCAAGGCTACATCACTGATAAGGAGCCTTTTGGGCGATGTTATTCAGCTCTTAGTGCCTGCATTGAAGACAGAAAAATCTGTCTTGTTTCCTTCTATTCAGTTGATGAAAACTTATTCACAATGGAGTCTAAGGCCACATTCCAGCCCAGAGAGATTCTATCTCTTGCTCATTCCTTATCTATGCAGCTTATCTGCCATTGAATTAAACTTGTCCACCAAGACTTCATCTGCACATACCATGAGGGTGAGTGCAAACTGCTTGCTTGTTGTTGCTGGACTCATTCAAGAAAGGAGGACTTGTATTGGGACCTCCCTGGGAGTTGGGCGGAGTGGGGCACAGGACATCAGAGAGCACAAGCAAGGATCAAGGCCACCCTCACCCCCAGGCACTATGCCAGCAGGTGATGTAGACTTTCTCATTTAATGTACATAACAGCCCAGAAAGGTTGATATGTTTGTTTCTGTTTTCCAGCTAGGGAAACCGAGGCTCAGTGGGAAACACCTGAGGTAGAGCTTTAATTTCACACCCTTTGGGCTGACTCCCAGCAGTTGTAAATGTGTGCTACCCTGAACATTACTACCATGTTGTAGCAGAGATTTCTAAACTCACCCTGAAACACCACCGCGGTGTGGATGACTTCACCATGCATAACTCTGTTCTACAAGGTCCTGTCCCCATCTTTGATTCTCCTGGACATTTCTGCCTGGAAATCCTACTAAAAGCTAGAGCTCAATACATAGTCAAATAACTCTCTTCCCTGCTAAAGCCAGGCCTCCTTCCCTTGCCACCCTACCCTTTTCAGAGGTATGTGATTTTTTTAAACTTCTCGAAAGACCAGTTATTAGAAACCTCTCCCCAGGGATTTAATCTCCAAAATATTTCTCGCCTCTCTCCCTTTTCCATCTCCACCACCATTACCCTTTGGGCCTCAGTCCATATGGTTCCGTTTTCTCCAATGGCAAAACACATCTCTCCCCAGCTTTCACAGTTTAAACACAGCTCGATCAAGTCAGTTCCTCAGACCCCGGCACCTATGCATTGGAATCACCTGATATAAAGCACTGAGAATTAGTCAGCATCCTGGGTGTCCCCTTTTTAAAGCCCTTTTCAGAAGTCACATCAGGTGTATTTGTTCTTCTGAGATCAAGGACACTGTCAGGTTCTGAGGATCAGACCCAGCCCCCAGGCATTGAGAAGTTGTGACCCTCGCTGTGTTCTTGTCTTTTTGGATTGGATGAAGGCCGGGAGGCTATGCTACTAATAAAGAGTCAAGTACCATAGGTGAAAGTTAGCATCGTTGTGCTTTCTGATGTTTCCCCGAAAGATATCTGCTGTTTTCCAGTTACTCAGGTGAATGGTGCCCCCGTTAAGCCTTTGACCTCCCCACTAGAGGGTGATGCTTTAGGCTTACCAGCTGCAGTTTATGGATTTTCTGATCGGCTTTCTCTGACCTCTCTTCCGGGAGACAGTCCTTTGGTTGGCAAATCTGGCCAATTAAACCAGAATGTAATGGCGGTATTTCTTTTTGTGTTCCATATAACTATGAAGTGCTCCACACCAAAGAGAATCCCACAGCCCAACAAGTTTAGTACATCTCTTGGAGATCCACTTTAGCATGTTAAAAGCTCTGAGAAAATCTGCAGAAAGAACTCTTTGTTTAATTATATTTAGGCTAGTCTTTTTCCAAACATATCTGACATGGAACTCTTCTCCTTTTCCTCCTCCTCTTGCTTCTCCTCCTCTTTTTTTTTTTTCTTTAAACAATTTAAGAACAGCCCATCAAAGGCAAATTCCTAACCCTTAAAATCTAGCTTTTTGGACTATGTTTCCAAGTGAATAACTCTTCTTAGCATAACTAGACTACAGTAGATTGCCTTTCATTTATTTTCATCCATCCTTTTCCTGTGATGACTTCCAGGGACTATCTCCAGCCGCTATGAGTATTTTATAAAGGCTTGGCCATTTTCTAACCATGTGGGTGTACATCTGTTGCACATTAAGTCAGCTCACACCTTTCAGCAAGAAAAACATGGAATGTGAAGAGGAAAGGCATGATGCAACTAGCCAGGCACAATGGGAAGCTGCTCCAAGTATTTATTTCTCTGCGTTGAGAGCACTGTGTTCCTATTCAATTGAGAAAACCATCCTTACAATTCGGGGGAACGTTGTTATTTTTAAGCAGTATGCCTTACTTTGCCTTTTTGCAGCAATGCCAGCAGGAAGCTGGGAAGTAGTATACCCTCTTGCAGTTTTGTCACGCTAACAATTGTGTGGCATTCCTTTTCTAACAGTACCCATTCCCTCGACTTCTACAATATCACCCTTCTTGTAGGGTGGCCAAAGGAACTTTTTCTTTATGGCCAAGTAATACTGTATTGTGTGTATATACACCACATTTTCTTTACTTATCCACCGATGGGCATCTAGGCTGTTTCCATAACTTAGTTATTGAGAATTGTGTTGCTATAAACATGGGTATGCATGTATCACTGTAATATGATGGTTTCAGTTCTTTCAGGAAGATGCCTATCAGGGGAGTTACTGGGTCAAGTGGAATTTTTCTTTTTTTGAGGAATCTCTATACTGACTTCTGTAGTGGTTGTGCTAGTTTGCATTCCCACCAACAACACAGAAGGGAATTCTTTTATTTTCAAGTACCGTATTCCACTAAAACCAAGTTGCCAGAGCCTATAAGATGTATCATAATTTCACTGAGGTTCAAGCATAAGAAAAATGGTTGATGATGAACAAAAAATACACTGTTACACTCTGATTCCTTTTTCTTTTTCTTTTTGAGACAAGGTCTCTGTATGCAGTTCAGACTGGGCTTGAACTCACTTTGTAGCCCAGGCTGGCCTCAAACTCACAACGATTCTCCTGCCTCAGCCTTCCGAGGGCTGGGATTACAGGTGTGTGCCACCACTCCTGGCTAGTACACTCTGATTCTTGAGGTATTAAAATGAAAGATTGTATATCTTAGTCTTAATTAAAATATATTATTATCAGACCTGGTCATATGCGTGTACTCTCAGTACTCAGGAGTCTGAGGCAGGAAAATCACAAATTCCAGATCAACATGGACTAACAAAATACATAGTGAGATTTTGTCTCAAAAAAAAATAGGAAAGGAAATTAGGAAGAAAGGAAGGAAGGAAAGAAGGAGAGAGGGAGGGAAGGAAGGAAAGAGGAAGGAGAGAGGAAAGAAGGAAGAGAGAAAGGAGGGAGGGAGGGAGGGAAGGAGGAAGGCACGAAGTCTAGCGACACTCAGAATTTCCCTTGGGAATACTTGTGGGGCACTGCCAGGGCAGAGGCTGTGTTTTAGCAGGGTTATTCTAAATATGGTTAGACCTGGGTGAACATGGGCAACTTGGTAGAAAGGGCGGGATGAAGAGGAATCTGAGGGGAGTGGGGATTCTTGGCAGTTTTGGTTGCTCTGTTTTCTGGAGGACTGGTCTGGAAAGGAAGAGACTGCGTCCTCATTGCTCTGACTGGCAGAACAGCACGAAGTCCCCATGGAGAGAATGACAGATCTGGAAGAAGGGAAAATTGTCCACCCTTGGTTTTCAGATGCTGAGATAGAGACTCTTGGCTTGACCAGAAGAGGTATCGTGCACAGGAGGGTAGTGAAGAGGTTGCTGATAGGAAGAGTGTTGAACACCTATTCTGGCTCTGTGGACTTGAATGAGATTTTTAACCTACCTGAACGTCAGTGTCTTAATGAATAAGCACAAGCACTTATGATAGTATAGGCTGAACATCTTTTATTCAAAATGCTCCAAGGGCCTAAACTTTGAGTGCCATGGGTGGAAACTCTGATTCACACACAAAATTATTTAAAATATTGCATCGCAATAACTTCAGGCTATATATTAGGTATATGGGAAACATTAATGAATTTTATGAGTTTTTATTTTATGTTACTTTATGAGATCCCATCCTCCTATTTTAAAATCCAAAAAAATCCCCCAAATTAAAAATATGTCTGGCCCTGAGCATTTTGGATCAGGGATACTCAACCTGTAACTGTCATACAGATTACATTTGGGCTGTATACAATAAAAACTTAACCATGTTGTTTAACTAAGCACCGCCTTCTTCTTCTGAAGCTTCTTAGGAAGTCCAGAGGTCGGCAGTTGGAAACATCTTGGTGACATCCACACCCCTGGTTCCTTCTTTCTCCCTGTTGTGTGATACTCATTGGAAAGCTTTTGCTCACATCTGTCTCTTCAAGGTCATAACAAGGCTACTCTCTCTTCCACTGAACTCTACATTCCAGGCTGGAAGGAAAGGGAGAGAGGGGGATGCTAGTAGAATTTGAGCTAGAACCCACTGGTCAGCATCACGTTACACAATCACTCCCACCTACAAGGGGTGAATCTGAGCAGGCATGTGTTAATGGGCACTTTGCCATTGCTACCAAAACTGGGATTCTGTATATTGTTTGGACAATTAAAGGCCTGTATCTTGGACTCTGAGTAGCAAATTTAAAGATAATAATGCGCAATGTATTAACCATTGTTACCCTCCTATTATCTTGTTTTTAATTTTTTTGTATTTAAAAAAGAAAGCTAGAAGGCCCATGCAGATACTAGGTAAACACCAACCCGCGTCACCCATAAGTGCTGACCTCGCAGGGCTGCAGGAAGAGTGAGTGTGAAAACGCAGATGAGTGAGCTCAACTCTGTGCCCGACACAGAACAGACGTGCAGCAAGCGCTCTTTCTACACCTCTGACAGCTGGTAATGCTTGTCGGCTTCCTCCTTCTTCACGATTGCAAGACATCTTGTAACTCGTGGTTATACCACAAGGTGGCATGTATCCCAGAGGGAGCCAGGATGGTGGTTGTGCATGGCCAACATGCGCTGTGTGAAGAATGGAAAGGTTATTTTGCAACAGGCGGGAGCGTAACTAGGGGAACGGAGCAGTAATCAGTATAGTATTCCATCTCAGTTGGAGCAAGTCTGTGTGCGTTAGTGTCCTTTCTGACTTCCCGTGTGGACTGCTCTCTGTCCGGCCAGTGGAGTAAGTTATTTGTTCCGCTTTCTGACAGCTCTCGTGGTTATTTTTATGTGTTTACATCTTGTGTCTTTAATGGTGCTATAAACTCCATCAGGATAAAGCTTGTCCTTCACTGCCTTTGTCTGTTGCTGTCCCCAGCCCTAGCCCTTCCAGCGGTCCTTGGGGACCAGCCAGGTAACAATGTAAAGTGGATCTGAGGCCCATGGAAGGGAGCAGCCTGGGCTGTATGTAACCCTTGCCTATGGGCACTCAGATTTAAATCAAACAATGAACAAGCAGTGAGAAATAATGGATCTAAGGAACATCCACAATGGCTACTCGCGGGACAAAAAGACAATTTACCTTGAGCCTCCTGATCAGGAAGTACACACTTGTGAGGAATTTGTGTCAGAAGGAAATCAAACACTAATCCCGTCAAACTTCTAAATGTGGCTACCAATTTACAGGCCATCAAGAAGACAAGATGCCGTGCTAGGTGTCACCACAGGAAGGCAGTTAGTGAGATCCAGACTGTGGGGAACCCTATGGGACAACATGACCCAGTTTCCTCCACAAATAAGTCGCAATGAAAATGAAAAACTTGGAAGGCAGGGCTGTGATTAAAAGAGACTTAGGGGATGTATCAGTCAGCTGTGATGTATAGGATCTTGTTTGGTTCCTGATCTGACCACACTAAAAGAAGTTTTCTTGAGACAATTTGAGAAATGTAACACTGACACTTGTTTATTTTTGTGTGACAATGGTGTTGGATATTTTTTGAAAGAGCCCTTATCTTTCAGAAGTGCATAGAGAAATATTGCAGAGATAAATGATATTAGGGGCTTGCTTCAAGATTACACAATTTATGTGGAGGTGAGGCTGGAAAATAGGGTGTAGTGCATTGGCTGAGGCGGGTAAGTATGACATGTTAATTAGAAAATCCCAGGACACATGCGCAGAACAGGTCCCAAAGCCCCGGATGTGGACTTCTTCCGAGAACTCAAGGGGGTTTTCCATACCATGGCCTAGAGCAGCGATGGTGAACCCTTTAAGAGCTTTCAATGACAACAAACAGTCCACTGCTGCACGTGTGCTGTGGGAGTGCCACCACTGGCCTAGGCCTTATTCGGCCTGAGAAGTGGGAAATATAAAAGGAAAGTTGCCGTTGAGCTTCTGATACTGTGTTCTTTCATAGTAGGCCACTTTCACACTGTACTGTATACCTCTTTTCTTCCTTTTTCTTGGCCCAAATTTGCTCTGCAGGGCATGTTTATTTTCCTACCTTCAATAAATATAAAACCTTGCTACCATCTGCACTTGTCTTGACCAATTCTCTGTTCAGGACAGAAAGAACCTAGAAACCACCTCTAGAAGGATATTCCAGCACCCCAAAACCTAGTAACAAAGGGGCACGGGTGGTTCATTCATTATGGATAACTAAGACTAACCTAGGACTGGTGGTTAGCTGGGGGGCTGAGAGGTGAACAGAGCATTATTGCCTTAATCTCCCTAACTTCTTGTTATGTGTGACATGTTCCTGGTAATGATAACAACAAAACATCAAACAAGGAAAGGCCGCCGAGTGTGGTGGCGCACACCTGTAATCCCAGCACTCCGGAGGCTGAGGCAGGAGGATCGTTGTGAGTCCGAGACCAGCCTGGGCTACAAAGTGAGCTCAAGGCCAGCCTGAACTGCATAGTAAGACCCTGTCTCAAAAAGACAAAAAGCAAAACAAAACAAAATAAAACAACAACAACAAAAAAAAACAAAACAAAACAAGGAAAGACCATGGAACCCGTCAGTGCATACCCACGGGAGACAGAGGTGAGGCCACCAGAAGGCACAGGAGACACCAGCTTTGGAAATCCCCATCAGCATAGGTCCTTCCAAGGCCATTTTGTTTTGCAGAGTTTATTTTTTCTTTTTTTATTAGTACAGTACACGTTTGCAATACATAATGATTCCATTCCTTGTGGGGAGTTGGTGTTTGTAAGCAATACATCTTACTTCTTTTATCCCCTTCCTCTCCCCTCCCCCTCCCTCCCTCCCCTTCTGTCCATCTCTTGATCCCCTTCCCATTTGAGAAAGATTTATCTTGCTATTTTCTATTACCTGTCTTTTATGTTGCTCTTGATTTCCATTTGAGGTTTCTGATATAAGAGGAACTATGTGATATTTAAGCTCATGTGTCCGATTTGTTTTACTTCACATTATAGCCTTAAGGTGCATCCATATTCCTACAAATGACTCAGGTTTATTCTTCTTTTTTTTTTTTTTGGTTTTTCTCTGGTACCGGGAACCGAACTCACGACCTTGCGCTTGCCGGGCAGGCGCTTTGCCGCTGAGCTAAATCCCCAGCCCCAGGTTTATTCTTCTTTATGGCACAGTAGTACTCAGTTGTGTGTGAATACCCCAATTTCTTAATCCACTCATCTGTTGATGGATATATGGGTCACTTCCAAGATTTACCTATTATAATTTCTGAGGCTATAAACATGGGGATGCATGCATCACTGTCATATAATGACATTAACTCTTTTAGGAAGATATCATGCAGGGGAAGAGCCAGGTCAAATGGAATTTCAAGTCTCAGTTTTTTGAGACATTGTCGCACTGCTTTCCGTAGTAGTTGCACTAGTTTACATCCCCACCAACAATGTAGAAGGGTTCCTTTTGCCCTGCAGCCTCACGAGCATTTATTAGTATCTGATTTCTTGAGGACAGCCATTCTTTCTAGGGTACAATGGAATCTCAGTGTTGTTTTAATTTATATTTCTCTGATGGCCAGAGATGTTGAGTGTCCCTTCATGGATTTATCCAAGAGCATTTTGTATTCATTTCTTTCTTTAAGAAACCTTCCCAAACTGTAAGAGTTTTAGATACAATAGCAGGCAACCAATGGACTTCTGTTTTAGGCATTCAGTAAAAGTTTGCCCACATGATGGTGACCCTGATGATGATGATGATGATGATGATGACAACGATGATGATTGTGGTCCTGGGAATGAAACCCAGAGCTGGGTGGATGTAGGAATCCATGCTAGGCAAGTGCTCTACTACTGAGCTATACTCAGCCCTGTCAACATGATTTTTCCAATCACTTGTTAATAAGCATTTTTGAAATTACCTACAATTAGATGTATGGTACAATTAGCCTCATGTATCTGTCCCTCATTAAAGTTCTCAGTATTTTTCTTTCCACTTCCTTCTCTTCTTCCTCATTCTTTTCTCCTAAATAGTTCTGTTTCTCCACTTACAGTCACAACCACAATATTATTATCATACCTGACAAAATTAACAGTAATCTTTAATGTTGTTTAAGGTCCAACCCAAGACTGAATATCCCTAATCATCTCAAAGTGATTGGTTCTTAAGCAAAAATCTGCAGTCAACATTCAAAATATGAATGACGAACCATTAGTGAATTATCCCCCTTTTTGCAGTAAATTCTTATTCCAGACCTGCCCACCTCCTCTACTGCAGGCGCTCCAGGGAGCCCTGCCCCTGAATTAACTTCAGTTTTGCACAGGTTTTATTACATTCCTACATCCTTGATATCTGTGCCATCCAGGACAGTAGCCACCAGCCACATGTGGCTGTTGAGGATGTGGAACATGGCTAATGCCTTTGGATGAAGTGAAAATATGCAATCCCATATGAAAATATTGACTAAGGCTGACCTTTTCGTGAAGGTTAATTGTGCTTATAACTGTAAAATAGTTGTATTTAGCAGTGGCTGCTAAAGGTGAATAAATAAGATATAAGCATGTTAGAGCAAAGAAGAGCTTTTTTGAAATACAAATGAAACAACTTGTGCATTTATTTGCTGTTCCTTTTTCATACAGATAATAGCTATCATTTTGTGTTTACCTGTGACCTTTACTTCTAGCCTTACCATTTTGTAATAATTTAATGTTTCATGCCTACTTTGCATAATATGTAGACTGTACCGTATAGAAAAGAAGGCACACTCTATCTAGTATACTAAAAAGGTTGCATTTTAGTAGTTTGCTAGGCATAACAAGGTTAAGAACCAACCAAGGGTATGTACCTTACATTAGTCAGCTTCCGCTGTCATAGTGAAATACTACCAACTGAGCAGTTTAGAAAACCAGACATTGATTTTCTCACAGTTTCAAAGGCTGGAGAATATCCAGGTGCCAAGAAATTTTGTTTTTCTGGTGAGGCCTCTCTTCCTGGCTTACAGACTGTGCCTTCTTGCTGTGTCCTCTTACATGACCTCCCCTGTGTGTGTGTGTGTGTGTGTGTGTGTGTGTGTGTACATGAAATAAGAAAAAGAGAAAGCTCTCTGGTTTCTCTTCTTCTTCTCCGAAGGACACCAGTCCTGTAGTACTAGGGCCTGGCTTAGTTACTTTCACATTGCTGGGGCAAAACATCCAACACCCACAAGGTAAAAAAGGAAAGGTTTATTTTGGCTCAGTGTGTAGAGGTTTCAGTCCACAGCTGGCTGGTTGCAAGGCAGGATGGCATGGCAGAGGAGAAAGAGTTCGTGGCATAAGCAGGACACAGCAGCCATCAAGGGAGGACGAGGGATATATACCCTTAGACTGTGCCCACACTGACCCACCTCTTCCCACCAGGTTTCACCTCCCTATAAGCTCTCTAGCAGACCGACATGGTATCACACACCCATGATCTGGCCACCTCCTAAAAGCCCCACCGATGACCACATGAGGCTTTGGGGAAACATCTAGATATAAGCGATAACAGGGCTTATATCTCATCCTTATAATCTTGTTTAACCTTCATTCCTTCCTTAAAGTTCCTATCTTCAAATACAGGAATATTGAGGGTACGAACATATGAATTCTGGGGTACGTGTGAGTGACACACAATGTGGTGCGTAATATGTGTGGTAACTCCCCTTCCCCCAAAAGGCAATGAGGAGAGAGGGGAACTGCACATCAGGTTTGAAAGAAACAGGTCTTTAAGGGTGTGACTGAGCACACTGCATCTGTGGCACATACAAAGTAAACTACACTGTACATTGGGAATTATCTAGGAGTGAATTGACCTATGAACTAACACTTACGGACTTGTCTTTGGAGGAGAGGGGTGATATAAAGGATCATTATCAGTTTCTTCCTGAGTGCATGTGTGTGCTTTAAGGTGAGAGAATAAATGAGTGTGAAACATCAGATGACAGATACTAGATTTAAAAGGGATCTCAGGAAATCATTTACTTCAGTGGCTGTGATAGTTACCTGATTGTGTCAACTTGAGTAAGAAACGCCCAACTCAACTGGAGCAGTATAGTCCTGAGTGTGGCTGAGGGGATTTACTGAAGACAGAAGACCCACCCTAGGACTGTTGTCATGTGAATGTTATACAGAAGAAATGAAGAAGGAAGGCTTCTGTTTCTTCGAAGGAGCTCTCTTTACCTTGACCTTGTACATCTCCCAGCACAGACCCTTCAGTCTTCTGTTGCAAACCCTTCAGCCTTCCATCAGAGACCCTTTGGCTTCCTGATACTTGCATGGAATGCTACAGTGCGCTCCAAGCCTTCCACTGGATGCTTTGGATCTTCAGTGCACAGACAGACTATTTTCACTCTTCTACATCTGACTCTGTGAACGGCCATTGTAAGCCAGTCTTGTAAATTCTTATATATTTGGATATCTTGCAATAAATCTGTTTCTCTAGTAAGCACTGACTGATACAATGGTCAAATTGATTTAAGTACACTTGAAGAAAAGAATCAGCTTCAAATTCTCTTAGAAAAAAGAATTGCATCCTTGAGACCGGTGAGACACTGGTGTTGCAGAGAAAGCAGGGAAGGAAGGTCATAGTTTTAGGCGGGGACAGCACTCACAAGAAGATGGTGGTTGGGAAGTACTCATATGATTTAAGTCATTTACAAAAGGTGAAGAAGTGAAGAAGTGACTAAAACAAAAGGGGTAGTGACGATTGGGTTGAGGGGTTGGGTTAAAGAAATTTCCTAATTATTTGGATCGGGCTAGGGCTAATGCTCAGCGGCACAGCGCCTGCCTGGCAAGTGCAAGGCCCTGAGTTTGATTCCCAGTTCCAAAAAAAAAAAAAAAGTGAGTCACCTAATTCTTTGGATGTGGATAATCATTCAAATGGGATTTAGACCTGCAGTGCAAACAGGGGACAAGAAGAAGTTGGACAGTCCCAGCAAGTTAGAATGCAGGCACCCTGCCAGTGACTGTCTCCCGTCTGGCTGGAGATTTGTTCACCTGCTCTCCAGCTATTTGCAATGTGGACAGACACTTGTCCTCTGCCTTTCAGAAACCACAGAGGAAAGCCCCTCAGGGTTTCCCTGGGGCAGTTTAGAGCCAACCTCTGAGTGCTCGCTTTGGCAGCACATATACTAGAATTAGCCTCTGAAAGTCTAAAGCAGGAGAACCTTGGCCCTCAGCAGCACAGTTAACTTCAGCAGGGAGACTGGGTTGCATTGGCTGCTTTGTGCTCCAAGGTTCAAGAGATAGGTTTTATTAGATTAGTTCCTAGAACAAAGGGAGAGTTGGTTCCCAATTAGTGTCAGCAAAATAACTTTCTAAAAAGTGTAGGAAAATACTTGTCCCTGATTGCCTACGTCTGGAAATTAGCAACATATTGAAAAACATTTAATTGCTTGAACCTCTGTTTTTAAGAAATCCCTTGACTTTAGATTGAATTCCTCTTGGTGAACAAATTAGTCTTGGAAGAATTTTTGCTATTTTTCAAGAAATCACATATAATTTCCAAGACATTTGAAGGGACTGAGGTTTTATCCCACTTGCAAGCTCACAAATTACCTCATTACAGTTTCCTGGGTACGGTAAAAGACAGGACTGCTGGTCAGAGAAGGCAGTTTATTGCTCACCGTTACAACAGTAGACTGACTCTCAGCCAGTCTTTTGAAATTTATGCTGTTTTCCTACGTATCAAAAGGATGATTGAAGAAGGTCAAATTATACCCACACATGCAGTGGGTTGCCCTTCAGGAGAAAAATCCTGAATTTAGAGGACCTGAATCTTTTCTAAAGGGCAGTAAGCAGGCATGCCCTTTGCTTTAGGAGTAGATGTTGTCTCCACCTTCCTAGGAGGTAGGTAAGTCTGCACTAGAGGCAGATGTGATTATTTTTTAAGGTTGCTTGTTATTAAACATCTTTCAAAAGATAGTCCAGAACAAATGCCACGCAGTGCCTCTGCTCAAGATGCACAGGCGTGCAAGGCATCCACAAAGTATCGTGTCCCACAGTGCTACACCACTGGAGATAAAATTCTTAACCAATGGAATTAGAGTAAATGCAGTTGTACAGCATCTTATATTCGTTTTTACTCCAAACCCTCTTTTAAAAAAGCAGAATTCTTAAAGGATTTTTTAAATATCTTATTACTATTGATGCTCCCAGGCCAAAACAGCCTTCCTCAAAATTTCTGGCATCTCCTGTATGATACTGTGTCTGCTTTGATCATTTTTATCTTTGGTAACTCAGAGTCCCTCTGGCCCGAATGTCCCTTTTTTCATGTCTCTGTTGGAATGACTGCCTTGCAGCAACTTTTCTGCACTAACTGTATTCAGCAATGTTTACAGTCTCTACCCTTTCATGTTTTCTGCTCTTCCTGGACTTCACTTCATGTGCTTTGCCCTATAATCTTTGTAAAATTTCTCAAAACCCCGACAATTCTACTTCACACGGTCTTCTCTCACTGCATAAATCAGAGAAGAATCTTGGTGCTACCTGATCCAACCTGCTTCGTTTTTGGGTGTGTGGGACTCTGTGATCAGATAAAAATTGGAAATCTGAAGTTCAAAGGATTAAGTAGGGCCAGGCATGGTGGTGCAAGGTTGAAATACCAGCACCTGGGAGGCTGAGGCAGGAGGATTGTTGCGAGTTTGAGACCAGCGTGTGCTACAAAGGGAGTTCAAGGCCAGCCTAAACTGCATAGCAAGGCCATGTCTCAAAAGAGACCAAAAAAAAAGTTAAGTAGGTGCAACTACTTTGGAGAACTGTTTGGCACTTCTTATAAAATTAAACCTCTATATATGTGTCCAGGCAATTCCATTTCTAGGTATTTACCCAATAAAAACATATCCGCACAAAGACTAATATAGAAATGTTCATACCAGCCTTATCCACAAATAGTCAAAACCTGGAAATAATTCACATGTCTATGAACAGGAGAATGAATAAACAAATTGTGGCATAACAGTCACACATCACATAATGTTTTGGTCAAAGATGCCCCATATTTACCATGGTGGTCCCATAACAGTATATTTTCTAGTGATGTAGCTTCCTTAGTTTGTGTGAGTGAAACCCTCTATGGTGTTCAAACAATGACAGAATTGCTTAAAAATGTTTTCATCCCAACATAAACCTTGTCATTGTCACATGACTGTGTATATTTGTTAATGCGCACATCAGCAATAAAAAAGCTGAATTATTGATATAAATAAAAGAACTGATAAAACTGAAAAATCTGAGTGAAAAAGCCTGCCCCTCTCAGAACTCATTGCTCTGAACACATAAGATCTGTGTCTATGTTAATTATATCTCAATCTATTTTTTTAAAAACTTGCTTCTTTTTAATAGGAATTTTCAGAGGATGAAATAAACAAATATGTATTGTGCATCTTAAAGAAACAAATAGAACATAGAGTGTTAAACTACCTGAAGAAGAGACTTTATTTGAAAGAGCATCCCATGGGACAGGATGCTTCACCTCCAGCAGGGCCAGGGATTGAACCCAGGGCCTTCCATAGAGTAGGCAAGCACTCTACCACTGAGCTAATCTCCTAGTCTGACAGAAAGCCCTTCAGAGATGTAGTGCTTTGGCTCACAATGGACCTCTGTGATTTGTAGCCTTACCTTTTGTTGCCAGTTTTCTTCCTTTGCTAATCACGGAGATGGACTGCCTGTGCCAACCCACGGGCAGGGTGCTAGGTCCATCCCCTGCTGTGGCCCAATTCTTCTGCTTTATTAATCCAGACCAGTCCTTGTGTTGCCACCCTCCTTTCCCCTATGCCATGAGCCCAACCACCCTGCACCTCCCACCAGCAGCAAGAGACACATTTGGGCAAAGGAGCCTGGCTACCTGCTGCATTTGCAGACCTTGGCTTAATCAGCCATACAGTTCACTTGTTCATTCACAAGTGCACGCTTGTCCTCCCTCACCACCTTCATTTATGTGAGCACCTCTGTCTGACACCATGCAATTCTGTGGAGACACAAAATTGAAAAAGGCACAATTCCTGCCTTAAGCAAAGAGAGTCACAGTAACACAACCCTTAAACAATGCAGAACCATGGTATTACAGTGGTGTTAATGTTCTTGTGATCCCTCCTCTGGCAAACATGCAATTTCCTTTTTCTTCTATAGATATGCCACGGGCAAAAATACTGACAACCATTCAACACAAAAGGAGCAGTATTAGTGTATTAGTCAGCTAAGGACCACTGTGACAAAAAACCCGAGGTAAGTAACTTACAAAGGAAGAAAGGTTATTTTGGCTCTTAATTTCAGAGCCTTCAGGTCAGGGTCACTGGCCACACTACTCTTGGGCCTGTGGCGGTGCAGCACATCATGGTGATAGTGTGTGGTAGAAGAGGCTGTCCACCTTGTGGTAGCTGGGAAGCAAGAAAGAGGAGAGGGGCAGGGTCCTCATATCCCCTCTAAGGACAGGCCCTCAATGACCTAAGTTCTTTGCCCATATGACTTAATGTCTTTCACTAGATTTTACCTTAAAGGCAAAGTGCAGCTGTGCCATAGGATGAGGACCAAGATTTGACATACAGATTTTTAGGGGAAAATTTATAGACAAACCACAGCCATTACTTTAACCAAAAGTGTCTTTGCAACGAGAACATCCTATCTGAAACAAGATGGTGGGTGGTGCAGTAAATACAGGCTCCCGGGACCACTGGGGTTTTGCTGCACATTTGTGGGTGTAGCAGCTTGGGAAGGAAACCTAGAAGCTGGTGCTCCAATGATGAGGTGTTGTGATCCTGATCTGAATAGTCCATTTTTTTTTTTTTTCTTACCTTTGTTTGGATAGAGAAGTGATGGGAGGAGAGCTCTAGCTTTTGTGGAAATAAGGCTGTCTCACAAATGCCTTCTGACTTCTCCTTTATTGTTCAGCTCAAATATGTGTTATTTTCTTTATCTGAATTGGGCATCAGGGCACGTGGGCAGGGTAAATTCAGCCTACGGTTGTCCTTAAGGGCGGCAGAAATAGACTGGCCTTGAGCTCACTGCTGACCTTCATAAGCTGGTGTGGGAAGGAGGTGGTGAAAGTCCAAGTAGTAGTCAAGAGCTAGAGGGTTTGGGAGGAGAAGCATCTCTGTTGCTGACTTAAACAGTTTAACACACAACAAGATTGCCTGTGTGTGTATGTAGGGTTCCACACGTACACAGAGACTCGGGGTGCACACGGGCTCCATCGTTCCCAAATCCCCTCATGCCAGCCCATTTGAACACACCCCACCCCACCTCAACCCCTAGGAATCACTGATTGTTCTGCGTTGGCATAGCTTTATATTTATGAGAGTGCCATACAAACAAGCTCTATACAGTACATGCCCTTCTGTGACTGGCTTTTCCATGGGGCAATGCTGCCTGCATCTTTCTTTCACAACTTTTCTAGAGCAATTCTCCTACTTTTCATTCATGTCAGTTTCCTTCGCCTTCACTCTTGAAGGACATTTTCTCAGAATATAGAATTCTGGGATGAGCTTTTCCTTTTTTTCCTTTCAACATGTAACACTGCTATTGGTCTATTGTCTAACCTCTAATTGTTTCAGATAAGAATCCTATAGTCCTTCAGTTGTTATTCCCATATAAATAGTGCATTTTTTTTTTCCTGATTACTTTTTTCTTTTTTTTGAGACAGGTTCTCACTCTGTAATTCAGGCTGGTCTTTAACTCACTATGTAGCCCAGGCTGGCCTTGAACTCATTGTGATGCTCCTGCCTCGAGAGATGGAATTACAGGTGTGCATCACCATGCTTGGCTTTCTGATTACTTTCATGACTTTTGTGTTTATGCTTTTCTTTCTTTCTTTCTTTCTTTCTTTCTTTCTTTCTTTCTTTCTTTCTTTCTTTCTTTCTTCCTTCCTTCCTTCCTTTCTTCCTTCCTTCCTTCCTTCTTTGCTTCCTTCCTTCCTTCCTTCCTTCCTTCCTTCCTTCTTTCCTTCCTTCCTTCCTTCTTTCTTTTTTGAGCAATTTGAATAAGATCTGCATAGGATTTCTTTAGATTTGTCCTGTTTGGTGTTTTCTGAGTTTTTTTTTTTCCTGTACTTGGGCTTGAACCCAAGGTCTTCATCCTGAGCTACACCTGTAGCCCTTTTAAAAATATATATATATTTTTAAATTTAGAGACAGAGTTTTGCTAAGTCACTACATTGCCCAGGTTGCATTCAGACTTTGATTCTCCTGCCTCAGCTTCTCAGAGTGCTGAGATTATAGGTGTGTGCCATCAGGCCCAACTGAGTTTTTAATTTGTATTATTGCATGTTTCAGTCCTAAAATAGACATTTGACTCTTCTTTTATATCTCATTTATTTATTGATTTAGCTAGGGCTCTGTAGAATGTTTCCTTTTCCTTCTTGGAGCATGTTTTATGCAAGTTGCTTTAAAGTCCGTGTCAGACAACTGTTGCACATGAATCATCTTGTGCTAATATCCATTGCCTGTCTTTCACTTGTTAATTGAATTGCGGTTCCTTCTCCAATCTTCCTGCTCCTGTTGACTCTTTGAAGAGTCCTCACATAAATGCTCCATGCATTCTGTCCAGGTGTTACAGCTATATTCAATGGGAGAAGTAGAAATCTGTACCTTGACTTTGCTGAGCCATTTTTCCAACATCCCTTTGGCCTGAGAACTGAGGACATTTTCCTGGCACAAAGGTAGCATGGATACATGATCCTATGGGCTATGACGGCAACTGTCAAATCTGTGACTTTGTATATTTAACCTCTGCCTGTGTAGCAGTTGTGGTTCTGTGGGCAGCAACTTGCCTGCAGATGCCTTTTTAATGGTGTATTGACACAGACAGTATTCTAGATAAGGAGCAGTCAGCCTTTATGACAGTCAGCTTACTGAACAAACACCTGAGGTAATCAACTTATAAAGAAGAAAGGTTTATTTTGGCTTACAGTTTTGAAGGTTCCAGTCCATGACTTGTTTGTTTTGGGGCCTCTGATGAGGCAACACATCATGGTGGAGCAAGTGGTAGAGGAAAATCACTTCCCTCATGGTTGGGAAGTAGGGGTGGGGAGAGAGAGACAGATACACACACACACACACACACACACACACACACACACACACACACTGGGGTGTCACAGTCTCCTCCACAAATGCACTCAGTGACCTAAAGATGCCCCAACTCTTCTGCCAGCCCCTTCTTATGGAGCAACGGCTCATTAGGACAGAAAGATTACGTCCAAATAAAGGAATGGGTGGGGTTTTGGTGGGAAGCAATGAGTTCTTATATGTTGTGAGTGTTCCGAGTTAGGCTGCAGCAGTCTGTGGGGGAAAAGCTGAGGTGCAGAAAATCCTTGATTGATAAAGGTAGCTGTTCTTGCCGATGTCATCCAAAGGATAAACAGCTTGCCAGGCATAAAATCTCTTTAGTCCTGCCAGGTGAATGAAGAAATGTAGAGGTTTGTGGTCCCGCTCTGACCGAGGCTATTATCTCAGGACTGCACCAGCGGTGTGTTAGGGGTCTCTCTGAAGATTTCAATTCGCCTGTTAGTAGGTTCGCTTCCTTCCTTCTACTGCCAAAACCATTCAGCTTCCTTTATTGTTTTTGGATTCATTTTCAGAGGACTGAGCTATCGTAACTCTCTCTCCAAAAAGAGTCATCCTTTGGCTATCGCCCCCAGGGCTCAGTCTTAAAGGAGATTTCAGTTTGTGCGGTGGTGTGTTGGCGTCCTGGGTGTACAGTTGAATAATGGAGTTGAAAACCTACTGAGAATCGAAAAAGTCAGAGAACCTCTGAAAAAGACATCAGTATTGTGATACTGCCCTTGCTACATATTTGGTAATATAAGAAACATGAATTCTTCAAGAACTGTTTACTGGCTTCGAGTGTGTGACTGGTGTCGGGAGCTGTAGGTGACGCGAGAATACACTCTGCTCCCTCAGAGCCTGCACCCTGCTTGTGAAGAGCAGGCACACCAGGTGGTGATGTCTAAGTGTCCCCTCAGTCACCAGGTCAGAGCACTTCACTTGTCGGCTTCCTTGCTTTCCACGTTCAGCTGGCTGCCAAGTCCCCGTGATCCAGCATGGTTCTCAAATTTACTTTGCTTCTCTCATCCCGCCACGCTTGTTTCCATGAGGCTATTATTTTTAAAATTGGCTTGACTCCATTAATCTCCTCCTGGCCAATCTCCAGTCAAAGTAACATGAATGATCATGTCTTTCCCCTCCTTGAAATTCCTTCATTATGTTAAGAATGGGCTTGAACTCTTCAGTGTGTGTGTGTGTGCGTGTGTGTGTGTGTGCGCACGCTCTCGTGACTGAGTATTGGACCCAGGGGCACTTAACCACGGAACTACATCTCCATCCCTTTTTATTTCTAGACTAGGTTTTGCTAAATTGCCCAGGCAGAACTTGAACTGCAGTCCTCCTGTCTCAGCCTCCCAGAGACCTGACATTACACGTGTGCACCACTACCCTGGCTGAACTTGAACTCATTAGCACCTTATTTTGGTCCCACTTCCTCTTTCATTGCTCTCTTCCACTGAATCTATGATGTTAGTTGCTCTCTGAAAAGGCCATATATTTTGGTCTTGCTATTTTTTGTTTATAATTCTCTCCCTTTTTTTTTCTGCCAAGAAAACTATGACCTTCAATACTAAGGTCAAATGCTACCTCTTCACGTAGCCAGTTAGTAGTTTTGGTTCCCATTTCTACACTGCAGAATTTTGTTCAGGTCCATTCACTTATTCAATCTGTACATTGAAATGATATTTTATTACTGGCAGTAGATCAGTGGTGGAGAATGCAAAGGTAAGAATTATTCTTGTCTTCAAGGGAGTTAGCCCAGTGAAGAAATACACTTGAACACAAACATATGCAAGGGGGGGAGATAATGGCTATAGCAGATGTGTATGCAAAGCTCTTTCTCTTTCTATCTCTCTCTGTGTGTGTGTGTGTGTGTGTGTGTGTGCGCGCGCGCGCGCGCGCGTGCTATCCAGGAGGAGAAGAAGCCCCTAAATCTGCCTCTCCTAAGAGAGCATGCAGCAGACAGAGCATTTGAGCTCAGCTTCATGGCTGGGTAAGTTCTCCTGATTGACAAGAGGAGGCAGAAAGTTTCAGATGGATGGAAGGACGCACAGAAAGGTCCTGAACAAGGTGCCCTTGGGGAAGGAATGCTCACGCTGAGAGAACGCATGTTGGGAGGGTTTTGGTTGCCAGTGACTACCAATAAGAGAGAGCAGAGGAAAGTCATAGATACCAAAGCAGAGGCTT